AGAACTCCCACTGAACAGGTGCCTCACGGCAGGCTGTTCTGTATTCATCCGGATCCCATCCTGAAAACCACACTCTGAGTGTCCCGTGTCTCTTTTCCTGTCTCCTTGCTGGTTGAGGAGAAAGATCCCTGCCCTGAGGCTTCATCTGCAAGATCCCTACTTCCTCTCATCTTGCAGATCCCGACAAAGAACAAAGTGTGTGTGCGTGAGAGAGAAAACATGAGGAGCAGAAGAAGGAGATCGGCAGGAGAGAGGAAGAAGGAAGGAAGCTGCAGAAGATGAAGGAGCTCCAGAACGAAGCTAAGGAATTAAAATATACTGCCAGGTGAAGTAAGAGGAGTCTGCATGGATATTTCCTCATGGGTGAGAGAAAACAGAAAAGAAACTGTTAAAGTATTGATGAGCCTTGAAATTACAGAAACTTGTTGTTAGTCGTTAAGTCATGTCCCACGCTGCGTGACCCCCTGGACCAGAGCACGGCAGGCCCTCCTGTCTTCCACTGCCTCCCAGAGTTGTTTCAAATTCATGTTGGTCGCTTGGATGACACTGTCCAACCATATCATCCTCTGTTGTCCCCTTCTCCTCTTGCCTTCACACTTTCCCAAAATCAGGGTCTTTTCCAGGGAGTCTCCTCATGAGATGGCCAAAGTATTGGGGCCTCAGCTTCAGGATCTGTCCTTCCAGTGAGCACTCAGGGTTGATTTCCTTCAGAATGGAAAGGTTTGTTCTTCTTGCAGTCCAGGGGACTCTCAAGAGCCTCCTCCAGCACCACAATTCAAAAGCATCAATTCTTCAGTGGTCACCCTTCTTTCTTTATGGCCCAGCTCTCACTTCCGTACATCGCTACTGGAAAAAACATAGCTTTGACTATGCGGGCCTTTGTCGGCAAGGTGATGTCTCTGCTTTTTAAGATGCTGTAAAGGTTTGTCATCGCTGTATTCGTGGGATACAGAAGATCTAGTAGTCACCCTTTTGTGACACATACATGCAGGCGCTTTCAAAGAGGTATGTGCTAATGGAGTCATGCCAGTCCAAAGGGGCAACTTCAGCTGCCCACCATTTAGATTCCAGAGGAGATTAACAACCCCATAACTGAGTCCCATTTTCTCACACAAATTGGTTCGCTCTCTCTGGTGAAAGCAGGAGAAATTCATCTGGAGTGTATATCAAAGGCAGTGGGCAAAATCCTCTTGCTTAAATTTATACTGGTGGAAACCCATTATGTCATCAGCCAGCACAGGTAAAAATTCAATTTAAACTAGTAGAATAGTTAGTTAGAAACTAAGTTTTTTATTCCTCCTGGCCTCTTTCACGTTCCACAGGTTCCTAGGGTTAAGGAATCATTGAAAACTTGGTGGTTTCAACAGGCCTTTCAACAGGTGAAACTGTTTAGCCTGTTATGTTATCTGCTACCCCAATCTTGAATGTTTTAGGTATTCTTATAAAGTATTTTAAAATGCTTTATTTTATTTACTGTTGAATTCTTATTCATTTATATTTATTTATTCGATTTGTACCCCACCTATCTGGACTACCAGACCACTCTAGGCAACTTCTCATATTTTGTGCTGTTATGATTACTGCTCTATTTTCGTCTTGTAAACCACCCAGAGTGGCCTTCATACAGACGTACATATGGTTCCCTTTTGCCCCTCGAAAGCCTTTGGGAGCCTCATGTCGGGCTTAGGGTGGAAGGGGAGCCTTTAATGGTAAAAAAAATTGGCACAGAATCTCTGCCACTGGGATACAGACCGCTGGATGGTGACATCATCAGCTTCTGTAGTATAAATTTACACCAATAGGATTTGGGTCATTCTGTGACCTTTCCCCCTCCATTCTTATTGACAGGGATGTTGTGAGAAACCTATCATTCCCTCCACAAGAGAGGCAGACATACAACAGCCATGGAATCTGAGGCAGTGTAACACACCTTTAAGAGTCTGGCAACACTTCAAAGTGTCTTGTCGTAAATTCAGGGACACTTTTTTTTGCTCCATGCTTAATTTCAGGCTTTACTTAAAAATAAAACATGCAATGGAACGTCATTGTTGGTGATGTTGTGGTGCACAAGTGCGTAGGGCTGGGACTTGAGAATGTTCCAGGTTCTGGTCATGCTGAGCCATGGAAAGCATTAGAGCAGCCGCTTCCCGAACGTGGGTCTCCGGATGTCCTTCGACGGCAGCTCCAAGAAATCTGAGCCTGCACAGCTAGCGGTGAAGGCTTGAGGGAGTTCCATTAGTGTGAACATAAAATGGAGCACATCTCAGTTGTGCACTCAGGTGTATGACCAGGCTCATGACTGAGGCACATCTTGGCACCTTGTCAATTAGCAACCATTGTTTAATTATTTAAAATATTTGCACCCTACCATTTTCCTTCAAAAAAAGGTTAAAGGCGGCTTACATCATTGAAAACATTCTGGCCCATGAGTGTATTCTGACTGTCTATTTAGCTAGTTATCTTACATCATTGAAAACATTCTGGCCCATGTGTGTATTCTGATTGTCTATTTAGCTAGTTATCTAGCTTGCTGATTGATTGAATGATTGAGTGAGTGAGTGAGTGAGTGAGTGAGTTCCTATCCCACATTTTCTCATGGTTATCCTTCTAACAACCTTTTGAGGCAGATCAGGCTAAAAATTAGCCATGAGCCCAAGGTGATTTAGCTAGCGGGAAGAGGAATCCATAGATTTCCAGTAAAATATATGACAATGTCGGTCACAATGAATCTGCTCCTCCTTCCTGGCATATCCAGAGTCATACATAGAACATTGAATAAAGGGATGGATCTGAAGAGTTAACACCATAGAGTTTTGAATCTCTGAGCAGCCCAGCAATTTGAAAAGGGAGGGGGACTGTAAATACTGCAAAGTCCCTTCCTGCTCCAGCTCTTAGCTAAGCTTATGCAGTTACATTGTGGCGTCTTTATTTCATGTCTTTGCTACAGATCTGATGTGGGGGTGAGTTCATATGGGCTGTTAAAGGGTTAGATTTTTCTGGGAAAGAGGTGTCAGATCTAATGCTGGAGTAAGATTTTTTTTCCTCCCTGTTGTTTGCATTCCGCATTGAAAATTCAAGACTACACTATTGGCAGGGTTTTAAAAGAAATAAATTCTGAACAGCCCAGTTACTGGTCATCTCAGTAACACAAAGTTTTTAAGAGGTCGTGGCTTTTTGTTGCAATAGATGTTGTTGTTTCTAAACCGATCTGTACCGCAACTATTCCTAGAAAGAAAAAGAAGGCAGAAATAATAAGATTGTAAAATCCTATATCACTTTGGTTGCTTGTTACCTTTCTTCACCGCCTTGGTGTAAAATGGGAGTCTCTCCAGCTAGCTGGCTTCCTAAGCTGGTTATGGTACTTGGTGCATGAGAAAGGTTGTAGTTGGGTTCATTTGCATTGATTTCATGTAGCACTTGAATTAACTAACATGTCACTCTCAAAGATGAAAATACAGCCTTGCAGGAGATATATCAGGCATTTGCAAAGTGTAGGCTGGGATATATGGTTGCTTAAGTATGTAAAGCAGGATTAATTGCAAGTAATTATCGGGAGACTTAACCTCCAGGTATGCAGGTGTGTGGGGTGGTGGAGTCCTTTGCAGGGGAAGTTCTCAAAAGGGGGGGGGCACCAAAAACACCTTACAGAGGATTGACTGTGCTTTGGGATGTTGTGGGTAGCATAATAAATTATTTTATTTTATTTTATTTTATTTTATTTTATTTTATTTTATTTTATTTTATTTTATTTATTTATTTATTTATTTATTT